CTGAGAAGGGCCGACCCCCCCGCCCGGGCCCCGCTGTTTATTTCCTCGCTGACCTTGTGGGGAGCCGGGCAGTGCGAGCTGTGACAGCTGCGGGAAGCGGCCGCGCTTTGAAGACCGGGGAGGTTGTGACCTGGAGGCCCCTTTCCTCTCTCGCTCCCGCGAGCTGCTGAGTCAGGCGGGGGAGAGGGGAGGTGAAGCGGGGGGCTGCTCTCGAGCCATTTCTCAAGCGGCGAATGAAACAGGAAAGGACAAATGCGAGAGGAGAAAAGAGCGATTACTTCCACTTCGGTGACTTGCTGAGGAGGGGGGTCTCTCGCTCTCCGGCCACGGCTTGAAACGCTGATTAAAAGCCCCCGGCCCCGCCCCTGCCCTCCCGCGCCCCGGCCTCGCGTGGAAGGGGCCGCGCGCGGCCTGGGAGCCCCGTGCAGATCGGTGCTGCCGGGCCAGGCGCCGCTCCCGGAGCTCTCCAGCCGTGGCTCTGCCCCGGGGGAAGGAAGCCCCTCGCCATTTCCTCCAGGCAGGGGCACCCTGGCCCGGCCCCAGCCAGCCCCTTTCTCCCACCCTCTCGCCCACCGCTTCCTCCACGTCGCGGGATCCCGCGGCGAGTCCTCCCCGCGCCCAGGGCGCTCCCCGCCCCGCCCCGCACTTGCACTTGCACTTGCCAAAGTCAAGGAGCCAAGTGCGTTTGGCGCTGCGGTGTCCTTGCTCTTCTGCGCTGGTGTTTGCTCCCTCGGGGATCTGCGTTACCTGGTAGGCAGCGACAGGGCCCCCGCTCCTGCCTCCGCCGGGACAGCCGTCTGCTTCCTTCCCAGCTCCTGGATGGCACGAGCCCATGTGTCTTTCCTTTTAAAAGAGGCATCGGACAGCAAACAGCGCCTGGCTGCCGCCGCCCAACACACTGCAGAGGCAGGGCAGGCGAGCAGCGGGCTTTCTCTCCGTTTACACAGGGGGCACTTCAGTGCTGCACTGGTGACATTAAACCTTAGGGGTTGGGTTTTTACACGTTTTCCCACTAAATGGACCTGCAAGCTTCCTTGGAAAGGATCCTTGTCCATCCAGCCACGGCATTAAAGCAAAATGCTGTGATTAGCACGAATACCCAGCCCAGGTAGCTCGCAGGGCGTCGCCTACAAACCGGGCACGACGGGCGTTTTCTCGGGAATACCTGCCACTTGTCCTCTCCCCACCGCAGGGCCCGGGACTGGTGTCCTCCTCTGAGGGCTGCCGTTTTACTGCTGCTTCCCAGCAGGGAGTCCGGGCCGCCGAGGTCCAGGGCCGCATCCTGCCATTGATCCGCATGCTGCACTCCCCTGGGCCGGACTCCGCGTGGGGCGAAGGCAGGAGGTGGCCTGGCCGTCGGCGACAAAAGAAGTGCTCATCCAGCAGGCAGATGAGTGCACGAGAAAGGCTGGAGCCCGTCCCGGCCGCAATTGACGGCTGATGATTGACTAGGAAACAAGGTGGAGGGAACAGGCATTAGGCAAGTGTGCGCACAAAGTAAGCCCCGCTCCTCCAGCGCGTTTCCCCCTCCACGAAGCCCCTTCCTCCCAGAAGCGCACTCCCCTCCCAGGAAGCTTTCGGCCGGAGTCCTCCCGACAAGCGCAGCCCCCCCGCCCCGAGCTCCGAGCGCTGCCCGGCCCCACGGTCCGCCCGACTCCAGCCCGGTGCAGTGAGCGCCCGGTGCGGGGCCCGGGGACCCGGCGTCTCCGCTCGCCGCCCCGCCCCTCCGCTCCCGGGAAAGCTGATACAGCCAGGCCGTGGCCATCACCGTGGTGTCCGAGCGGGCTTAACGGCTGGAGGCAAAATCCCACAGCAGCTGGAGTACGTTTCCGTTGGCGTGCTGCCTCTGCAAAGCCCCGTGGACAAGGGTCTCGGGGCGGGCATCCGTGTGCCCTCATTTGGACCGCGAGCACCTTGGAGCAGGCCTGTGTTCTCCATATTCTGCACAGCGCCAAGCCCAAGGTCTGCACTCAAACAGCAATCAGCCCCGGGGCTGGGGAAGTGCCGCCTGCGGGGCGTGCTTCGCTTTTCGTACCTGTAGATTTCGCATTAGGGTCATGCCCCACACTTCCTGCGGGGTGGACATGGCCATGACCATTGCACATGGCTGGCACTCACTGGTACTGGGGTGCACGTGTCCATGGCTGGCACTCACTGGTATCGGGCTGTACGTGTCCATGGCTGGCACACACTGGTATCGGGGTGCACGTGTCCATGGCTGGCACTCACTGGTATCGGGCTGTACGTGTCCATGGCTGGCACACACTGGTATCGGGGTGCACGTGTCCATGGCTGGCACTCACTGGTATCGGGCTGTACGTGTCCATGGCTGGCACACACTGGTATCGGGGTGCACGTGTCCATGGCTGGCACTCACTGGTATCGGGCTGTACGTGTCCATGGCTGGCACACACTGGTATCGGGGTGCACGTGTCCATGGCTGGCACTCACTGGTATCGGGCTGTACGTGTCCATGGCTGGCACACACTGGTATCGGGGTGCACGTGTCCATGGCTGGCACTCACTGGTATCGGGCTGTACGTGTCCATGGCTGGCACACACTGGTATCGGGGTGCACGTGTCCATGGCTGGCACTCACTGGTATCGGGCTGTACGTGTCCATGGCTGGCACACACTGGTATCGGGGTGCACGTGTCCATGGCTGGCACTCACTGGTATCGGGCTGCACAGGTCCATGGCTGGCACACACGGGTATTGGGGGTATTGGCAATCAACCTGTTTCTTCATACTAGAATTCCCCTGAAGCAGCTGACACCCCCAGCCTCCCTCCTCCTCCTTTGTCCTGAGCTGCCATCTCTGCCGCACAGGCCGTGTGCCAGCTCCCAGCTCCGAGCAATGGGCAGTTCTGGGCACGGGACCAGCCACCTCCCGTGCGCGCAGGCCGAGGCAGACAAGCCGGCACCTTGTTCCTTGGGCACGTTTTGGTCACTGCATTTACGGAACAACAGCCCGATACGGGTAACCTATGGCTTGGCTTTTTTCTTTTCCTTTTTCACCCAAGCTGCAGGGACAAAACGAGGGGTCATCCATTGAGTTTGGGGTTCCCCGAGCCCTTCCAGCCTGTCTAACACGGGGATCGATCAGGGGCTGAAGGGTCGCAGAAAATAAAAGATCCTAGATCTGAAAGTAGCAGGGGTCCCTCAGCAGCGGAGGGTAGAGGTGAGCCGGGAAGCCACCTTCAGGTACAAGTGCCACGTGTAAGCGGATCCCTGCTAGTCTCCGATAAACACCAAGCGTTGATGTGTTGCCGGATCCCAGCGACATCGCGTCCACCTGGTTTCCGAGAGCCAGGGACGAGCCGAGGGCCCGGGGCGGCGTCCCCTGCTCAGCGCTGCTCCCCTTGTCCCAGCACAGGCTAATCGCAGCGCATCCCGCTCCCGCTGCCAGTGGACGGGGACGCTTAAACCAGGGCGTGAATGACATTTGGGGCTGGAAAGGTGACGCCGAGCAGTGTCCCCTCTCCCCCCGCCCCGATTCACTGCAGGGAAAGCCTTCAGCACCAGTTGGGACCAGCCCCAAGTCTGGCCGAGGTGAGTAGCTGTGTGTGCAATGTGGCGAGTAAGCAACGTGCACCTGGGGGAGCTCCCAGTTAAAGCCCCGTAGTGGGAGGAGACCCACCGCCAGCTTGTCTGTCATGTAGCACGAGGACTGTGTAGGGGGCAAACGGCTGGGCTGGCTGCGGGGCTCCAGCCAGGCAATGGAAATCCCTTCCTTCCTTCCTTCCTTCCCGGCGAAAGGCAAGGAGGTGGTGCTTGACTGAGGGGATCTGGGGTGACAAGGCGGGTACTGGGTAAGCTGGGAGGGCTGAGGCTCTGGGGCCTGGTGTTTACCTTCCCACTCCCCTTTGGGAGGGAGAGCCCCGAGCTCTTTCCCGAGCGCTATTTCGAGCGGTAGCATCACGAAATCACCGGCCACGAGAAGGGACCACGAGAAGAAAGGGATACAAAGGTCAGGAATCTGGATTTGCTGCGTGGCGTGGGGTCCTCGTGGTGCGCATCTGTGCTGCTCGGTGCGGCCGGCGCATCCCCGCAGCCCTTTCCCCGCAGCGGGGTGGCTCGCAGCGGGCCCGCAAGCTGCGTGCACGGAGATGCCGGGGGCTGGCGGACGGACCCCTTGCTAAGTGCTCGTCCCTGCTTTGGCTATGTGCATCTACCCGCCCGAGGGATTCAGTCTGAATGAGCTTCCCCCGATGAGCCCCCAAGGCAGGGAAGGGCCAGGGCGGATCCTCTTCCTTCCGGGGATGCCCGTGGCAGTCAGCCGGTGCCGGTCCCCTGCCTCCAGCCCCCGTTAGTCCGGGCTCTACAGAAGGGTCCTCCAGTTTACCCCAGCAGCGGCACGGAGGTTAGACGAGACACAACAGTGTCACACAAGCTGTACTGGGAAAGCCTCTCCGGAGTAAGGAAATGCCTCTTGAAGGCACCCAGGAGGCAGTGAAATAGCTGGGCAAAGGGTGTCCAAAAGGGGAAAACATTTCGTCCAGCGAGTAGGGCTCGGGCTGTTTCCAAGCCCCTCGCTCCAATTATTTCTGTTTGAAAGCAGCTCTAACACTGGTACCCAACTTTCCTCTAATCTGTAAGAACGGGTCTGCATTGCAACTCTGACTCCTGACAGTCGGCTGCTGCTCTGCTGGTCTTGCTGGGAGCTGTCCCGGACAGCCGAGGATTGCAGGAAGAGTGAAGGGGCATCAGCTCAGAGATCAACGGGTGTTCACTGGCCTAGGAGCTTTCACCACACTCTCCACAAACAAATCAAAGCAACAGACCGCCCGACAGATGCTAACAGGCAAAGAAAAATGCTATTCTGTCTCTCACTGGAACAAAAATACAGTGATTTTGATTTCTCTCCCAGTACAGCACAATATGAATAAAACACCTGGCCTGGAACCCTGGTTCCTCCAAATCAATGGCAATCTCCCATTAGTTCAGTAGGGCCAGGACTTCATAAGCCCATTATCGATAGGCGTATATTTGCTTTGTACTTCAATCCCTGCTGTTTGTCAGTAGGTAGGTATCCATTCATCCTCTGGCTAGTGTCAGCAAAAAGTGATTCTAAATCCACTTACTCGTTTTGGTGTTGACGTAGTATCTTGAGACCCCAGTCAGGGAACAGGCTCCATTGTGCAACGTGCTGCATGCCCAAGTACGTACAAAGCTATCTCCTGCTCTAAACAGCTTAGGCCTGCATCAGCATTAGAGAAGGTAGGTGGTGATAGCTGAGCCAACAGGATAGCTCCAGTGTTAAACAGCAATCATTTGGACACTTTGATGTGTGAGCAGGCATCCAAATAACTAGCTGAGATAGGCATCACTCCCAGTGGCAAGCAGCTTTCAGAAAAGATTCAGTAACCCAATGTCATAATGCCCTGGACAAGAGTAATACTACGCTCCACTATATCCACAGAATGCAGATCCCACCACCCATGGTGCTACTGGAGAGCTGGAGGCTCCAGACATTGCTGCACCGAGTGACTACTGTGTGGGATCAAAGTATGATACAGGCACAGGGGGGAACCAGAAAGTAGTTCTGGTGCACAAAAGGCCTGCAGGCTTCTGAAACAAACCAGCTCCTGCTAGCACATAGGATCATCTTCTGCCTCCAGATATAACTCCCACCTTCCTCTTGTCTTGACAATGCTTCTTCCTATACAGTAATTTGCACCTGTATCTTTCTACACTAGACAACCTTCCCCATCATTGCCATCACCAGTGGGAGTGGCAGGCAGGGCAAAGGTGGCTTATGGCTTTTTTACCTGCTCCAAGTAAGCCTAGATGATATGACAACAAAAAAAGCTCTGGCTGATAATCTATAATGGAGCATCCACCACAGGTAGGAAACTTTAGGAAATGAATGCTGATGTACTCAACTTAAGAGTTCTTCTGGATTTATTTGAAGACACAAAACCATTGGTAATTCCCAATAGTCAGACTTTTTCCCTGTCACAGTAATGGAAAACAGAGCCTGCTTATTCAACAAGCCTCTTTGGATCACGGTTCCAGTGGAAGGAAAGAACCTCAGCAAAATGGATCAGGGCTCAGTTCCTCAAAACTATTTGGGTGTGCTTTTAGGTAAGAAGTAAGCAGTACAGAGTCAGAAAGTTGCTTCCTGAAGTGTCCCGTTTTTTGATCCTGCCATTCTTTGCTCAGATATTATGTGCCCTGAGCGATTAATTATGAAAAGATGAAACATTACAACAGCCTTAAACAAATGTTATTTGTATTACTGCAGCACCCAGATACCCTATCTGAGATGGGATCCCATGCTTAGGTATTGTACTGATATTTAGTAAGAGACAGCCTCTGCCCCAAAGAGTTTATAGTCTTTAGAGATCAGACAGATAAAGAAAAGAGTACCATTCTCCTATTTAAGATAGAAAGACAGAAGTACAGGAAGACTGATTTGCTCAAAATCAGTCACTCAAAAACTCTGACAAGAGCTAGGAATTTAATTCCTGTCCTTTTAAGTCCCAGCCCACTGACAATAAGGCATTTTCCATTTGCAGGAATATATTCAATTTATACTTTTTATATTAAAGTAGCTATTTCCCAGTCAATCAAAGTGAGTCATTTCCCTTTGGTTTCTTACTGCATTAGACATAAAATTACCCAGTATAACACTGCCAGGGGTTTTCCTCCTCCTCCTGAAAGTTCTAGGATGAACAATCCCTGCGTGTGAATAAAGGTGAAAGTAATAATTGCATGGAGGTGAAAGGAGCTTTAGCCATTGTTTCTTCAGAAACACCTTTTAACACAGTGCCACTCTCAGCAATATCCTTATTAGTGTTGCTCTGTGCAGCTCTCAATCCTATCATGGGACCATCAGCAGCACTAGCAGCTTTCTCCTAGTAGAAGCTCTTTTACTACAATTCAATTAGCGTGAATCTAGGCACAGGCTGAGGATATGCTATCGAGCAGATGAGATTTCCTGCATTTGCACAAGAGACATTGAAGGAAGAATGAAGCAAAATAAAGGGGGCCACAATAACATGAAAGGACAACTCAAGACTGACCGAAGCATCCTTCACTTGGAAATTGATGGCCATATGGTCTCTGCTTCCCCCCACCCCCCCACCCCCGCCCCAACTGCAGCATCACCCCAAGACGCACTCATACTTCCGCACAAGTTTTCCTTGACTGCCTTAAGTCAATTAATTCCAGTTTACAGCAACTCTGTAACCAATAACAATTCTCTGCTAGGTTCCTATAGAGGTGTAGGTTGTAGCCGTGTTGGTCTAAGGACATCGGCAGACAAGGTTCTTCAGGTGGGTAAATCTGATATCTTTTATTAGACCAACTAAATAGTTGGAAAAAATGTCTTAGCCAGCTTTTGGGTTTAAAAACTCTTCATCAGGCTGAGGAAGCATCTCAATTATTTTTCCAACTATTTAGCTAGTTTAATATAAGATATCGGATTTACCCAAAGAACTTTGTCTGCCTAGGGTCTTATAGACAAACTCATGCAGTATAGAGGCCACTACAGTTAGGCTTGTAAAGCAGTTTCCATCAGAAAAGCCCTAACTTTTACACTAACAGTTTTATGGCCGGTTCAGTTTTTGCTCCAGTATTTTTCATGTTTAGTTTCTACACCCAGGTGGCCTTTTCCTTTATAGCATAAGTAAGAATCTTTCAGTAATTTTGCAAACCTGAGTGGGAAAAATAATACAATGATTCCACTGAGAATTCAGGGTCATTCAGGGAACTTCAAGAGCTCATATCTAAGGTAGTATACTGTCTTCAGTCTTTTCTAAACTGGTATTCCACTCACCACCACGTTTTCCAGGGGAAAACATCCCTGTCACTCTAGCTGGGATTTCTTCCCATTTAGCAATATGGGAAAGGTAGGGAAATGGTGATCTCTGATAGCTACTTGAAGGGATCATGGCTTCCAGGCTAAAAAATCATCATTTAAGGAATCCTTACCCCAGAGCATCTTGTCTTCTGAATTAGATAGGATATAAAGTTATACACCAGTGATATAATGAGTCTATGAATGCTCAGTAACATCTGATTTTTAGCTTAATGAAGCCCTGTTCCCTTGTCATGCACATTCTCCCTGAGCAAAGGCCCAGCAGGCACAGAGGCTGCTGCTTTCAGGTTGCTGCTGGGAATTTCTGCACAAGGGAAACCTTCAGTAAGCCATCAAAAATAAAAATATTCCTGCATTTCACTGCCTTAACATCAGGAGCTAGGGAAACTAGAGAGTAATAAAAAAGAAGCTATCCTGGGAGTTTAGGATTTTTGCTGTTTTGCCCTGCAGTGTACATAGTCTAAAATCTCTTAAGAGTTTATTTTTAAAAATCTTTTCCTATCACTAAGATACATCCACTTCAGCATAAACAAATGGACTGCTCCTTTGTGATACAGCTTTATAGAAACTGATAGCTCTTGCTCCTACAGCCACATGAAAGAAGAAGATAGAAACTGTCTTCAGCTTACAATAACTCGCTCCACGCCCCAATTCTCTGGGCAAAAAATATTTGAAAGCAGAGGCTGCTCAATTAAAGTTTTAATTTTTTGCAAGACAGATATGCCAACCTATTCCTATGGACCAGAGTCTGTTTCCAGAGCTAAGATTTTCTGTGGGATTCTTATGGCTGGATAAACAGATCGGCACTAGAGCTTACAAACGTACCAGCCCCTTGACTGGAGTTACACAGGCAAGCTCTCCAGCTAGGGGGCTCTAGAGCAGTGGCTCTCAACCTTTTTTGTACCAGGACCCATCTGTAACATCAATGGCCAGTCCTGACCCAATGCTCCTCACTCCTGACCGCTGTCCCCAGGCCCCAGCCCCCAGTCTGTGGGGTGCAGGGAAGGGCATGGGGGGCCCCAAGCAGCCCTTCACAAGCTGGAACTCTGCCTGCCTGCAAGAGAAAAGCCCTGGTTTCATTTCCCACGTTTTCCTCCTTTAAAGGAGAATCCATTTTTAAAGTTTGTTTGTGACCCTTTCATATATTCTTGCAACCCACTTTTGGGTCACGACCCACGGGTTGAGAAACACTGCTCTGAAGTGCTGCTTCTTGGGTCACCCCTGCCCTTAGGGGAGACCAGTGACTGACAGCCTGGCTTTCCCCTGCTGGGGAAAGGGACAGGCTGTCAATGGGCAGTTGGCTGCTGATTTTCAGCAGCTGCCAGGATAAGCTCCCTTGGGCTGGCAGTAGTGAGGAGAACTACTCTTCTCACTCCTTGCACTTCATGCCCCCTCAAGTAGGGCAGGGTGCAGAGGTGTTATGGTGTCCCTGGGGCACCAGAACTCCCCTGCTGCTATCTAAACAGACAGGGATCACAGCTAGAACCACCCTGGTCTAGGAGGGAAAATCCCCCTAGGCTGTGTACAGCTCTGGGGTCACCTGGAGCTGTGTACCCAGCAGGAGGGAGATGTGCCCTAGCTCGAACCATCCCAGAGGCCTGGGATGGTTCTAGCCATGAGAGAATGCCTCCTACCCCTCCCATCAGCTGATCAGTACAACAGGCAGGGGGTAGTCTCCTGAGGTTTGAACTGTCTAGAGCCCCAGGATGTTGCCACCCATGATGAGAGACTGCCCCACTCTGCGCACTCCTCTGGGTCAGTCTGGAGGGGTGCACAGGGTGTAAGGCTTGGTAGCACAGCTAGCGGGCCTGGCAGCAGCGCTGGCTGAGCTGCAGAGAAATGCCCCTATGCACAGCCTGGGTGCGTGTTTGTTCAGGGTACAAACCTTGCCAGCAGGACAGTTTCAGCCTTGGGGATTACACCCCCCACTCTTGAACAGACTGGGCTGATCTGGGTCTGTTCAGAGGCTGAGCACATTTGGACTGCCCGCAGGTTCTCCACAGGCTCCCTGACAGCTTGCCCCTGTGCCAGCTATTGGGAAGCTGCGGGATACTGGTGATCCAAGTTAGTGTAGGGGAGAGAGATCTTCCTGTTTGGAAGTGATCTACTCTTCCTGTAGAAGAGCCTTTCCAATTCTACAAGAAACTCCTAGAATGGCAATTCACTCTCTTTTTGTCCCAGGGAAGTAGCTTTCCTCCTGACACCATGTAAAGCTTGTCCCCTGTGTACCTTTGGGCAGCATCACTGAGTTAATGCTACTGCAGCGTTCTTAACTTCTGCTCTTTCTTATTTTTATTTTGGGTGCATAGTCTTAAGATTGCAATACTTTTAGGTACTATATTGGCTCCTGTTATAAATAGGGAATATAACATGGGTCATCACCAGCATGAAGACACTTGACTGAGAACACCTGCAGGAAGGGAGAGGAGGGGATGGACAGAACCCCCCCCTTGCCCCACACACACACATACCATAGACCTACAAAGACTGTTAATGTCTTTGAATATCCCCAGCCGAGCAGCTGTACACTACACCTTAACATCATTATCTAAAAAAGTCTTATCACCTTACTTATGCAGTTACCATGGGAGCGGTTTTACCTCTTTTCCTACCATAGCATGGCACTGGAGCTTCTTAACCCCTTTACCCCAAGATAACACAGGCTGCATAACTAACTGCATGTTTTCGACTGTATCAATATATACCAACTACGTACCCACATAGCCATCACGCGCAAGGTCCTATATTCTCTTCCAACTCTACAAAGCCATGTAAATAACCACAATTTTAAACATTTAAAGAACTGCTTTACCAACGTTTTAGAGAATTAGAGAAAAACAGAAATCACAGCGGGACTATGTCTTGTATCTTTCCCCATGTGATGCCATGTGCCTTAAGTAGCACTTAGCCAACTGTACCAGGAGTTATTAAGCTTGAAGGGAGACATTAAGCCCTCCAAAATGACCTAAAATGTCTTTAGCACATACTGCAGATCTGGACATTTTACAGACCCATACCTCACAACCTCCTAAGGAATAACAGGGATCTAGGAGTGCTTCTTGTATCCACAGATGATCTTAAATAAATTATGAATTCTCTGGGGCAGGGGCTGGAAAACAAACCACTGAGGCTCACCTCCACAGGTGCAACCGCATCATTAACCATACCAAAGTTCCCATTTCTAGCCCTGCAAGGTCCTGAGAGCTCAAGCTTCCAAAAACGTCCGCTGACCTGAGGCCAGAATACCTAGCCCACGGTACATCTGGGGAATAAAACTCCCGAGGGAGGCAGAGTAAGAATAGCGTGGAGACAACCCGGAGCACAAAGAGCTGGCGGTTCTGGGAAGACGCCCGAGGTTTGGGAGATGAGCAGTGATCCCAGAGCAGAGGATGCCCGGGCAGGGGCGGCTGAAGGGCTCCCAGGTGCCTTCTTCCCTGGCCGCGCCTCCCCCACGTGTACAGTGCGGACCCGGCGAGCGACACAACGCGGCCCTGGACCTTGCTTGCGGCGGGCAGCAGAGCTCGTCCGTCGCTTCCTGGCGGTGGGACTTGCGACGGCAGCACCGCCACGTCTAGTTTGCACCCACTGAGCACCCATTCTCCCCGGGTGTTTTGCCGCGGAGTCCTTCAGCCAGCCTTCCGGCAAAGCACCGGCGGACTCAGCGGGTCTCGGGCACAACCTTCCCTCTGCTCTGCGTTGACTAACCGCCCTGGTGGCGAGCAACGCCGGAGCTCCCCGCGCTTCTCCCGCCCCTGCTCCCCGGAAAGGAGGTCCCCGGCCCCGGGCGCCGCAGGTCCGAGCTGGGGCGATCCGTGCGGGGAGGCGCGGGAGAGCGGCGCGCGCAGGGACGAGCTCCGCGCGGGCTGAGGAGAGCCGGCGCTTCGCAG